AGAGAGAGAGAGAGAGAGAGAGAGAGAGAGAGAGAATTCAACAGAGGGTCGAGAATTTTTCTATCCGTAAAAACAAAAGCACAACAAAGAGATTGATTAGTCGTTGAATTATATATCAATAGTTGAGTGCAATCCTGAATCCATAGATTTATTACTACAGGCATTGAAGGCAATGGTTTTCATTGTAGTATTTGTGCCATTGATGGCCATTACTTGACTTAAATTGTATATAACACCAAACAAACAATACATTATACCGTATTTCACGCATTTAATACATGGTTACCGTAATATCCAAACTGTTAGGTCCGGTCGCGTACTCAATGCCAAATGGCGTCAAAGGCAGTCGTTTTGGCGATTTAACGGACATAACATATGACGGCCTAATCGGCACCGATTCTGGCCATCTATCAGGAGGTGTCGGACAACTGGTCGATGGCATCAAAGGACTCGATAATTACAAAATCAATAAAGCGTTTGAATGGATCGGTTGGCAAAACGCCGGCAATCAAACCGTGGATATTGTGTTTGACTTCGAGTCGGTCCACAATTTTACCACAACGAGTGTCAACTGTCACAACAGTTTCACCAGAAATGTCCGCGTCTTCTCCACAGCCCACATATGGTTTAGCATCGATGGCATCAAGTGGTCAACGGTTCCCATTAAATACACCTATCAATCGGATAACACGCTGGAGAGGCCCAGAGGTCAGTACAGTCCAGACATGTTTTTACCCCGTAGTCGACGATATAAACACTTAACTTTTTTCTCATTATTACATTACGTTTAAGTTGTTTATGAAGTTTTGCGTTGATTTGATTTATGTCTTATCGATTAATCGCAACAGAATTACAAACGATTTTTTGTTTGTTATACTGTTATTCGCACTGAAATTCTTTGCCCTAATTCTTGATATACAGTATATATAAGTTTTTTTTCCTACTTTGCGTTTGATTTCGTTGCAGATGTGATAATACACTTGCAATACAGGATCGGACGGTACGTGAAACTGAGCTTCACTTTCGGCGCCCAATGGCTACACATTAGCGAAATCACGTTTGACTCGCAGTCGTTAACCAACACAACGGCGGCCAATATTAGCGAGTTGTTTGACTTGGAGGACAACTTAGGGCTAATCAGTAATTTAAGTGTCAATAATAACTCGTTGTCTCCGATGGCCACTCAGGACTTCGATCAGATGACAATGAAGTACTCGCTGTTGATCATAACGCTGGTCACGTTGGGTGTAGTGGTGCTGATGGTTGTGTCCTCATTCATGATGCGCGCCTATCAGACCCGTAAGGGTAGTGTCTTCCGGGAGATATCGGACACCGATCTGGAATCGGAGGCCCAGACGGTGACCATGAAAGACATCCCGAAGATCACGACACCGCAGACGCTGCTGTACTGCGAGCCCAAAGACATGTCGCCCGTCAGCGGTCTCAGCGGCTGCGACGACGAGGCCGAGTACGCGGTGCCGGACGTGATCTGCGCCAACGG